TGAAAAAAAATTTATTTTTTAAAACATCATATAAAAATGAGCTTAGTTTTAAAATGGCATTTCAGAACCTATTTCAGAAATACCAATCTTGACAATTTTTTTTTTTTTTTTTACAGTGAACGTTAGAATCAAGTTTTGAATGATGAAATTGCTTTATGAAAAATTAAGGATTAAGCCTGTAACTAGGATTGTTTAACTGGTAAAATTTCAACTCCTCAAACTATGTTGATTTAAACAAGTGTAAGATGATGGATCAATAAGTTTGTAGTCTTTTTTATATATATATATATATATATATATATATGCAAGCTAAATTCTGACCTGAAATTGTCACTGTATAATCAGTCTACATGATTAATAGGTTAAGTCCATTGACAAAAAAAGGAGATTATATTGAGTAATAAATATGTAAAATAATTTTTTTCATCACTAGGCTATAGATTCAATTATGTATTTGAACAATCTGTATGTATAAAATATATATATTTTTGAAAGTATTTAATGTATAGATCAATGACAGACTATAATAGTAAATGTTATTCTATTCCAGGTAAGTAAAACTTCTCACAAATGTAGTGACTACTAAGATGTTGACTTATAGATAACAGAAAAGTTGCCACTTCAAAAAGTAAAATGAAAATGCAAAAAGGATCAGTATTTATTAAAAATTTCAAATTTTGTTAAGAACTGGAAACAAACTGAGGCTCAGTTTCAGTCACTTTCCACCACTGTAAGATTGCCTGCCTGTGCCTTTTCTATAAATACTTTTATGGTAATTGTTTAGATGAGCTCTTTGCTATGGTACCTAAACTTTTTGAATTTAAGTGCAGTACTAGACTGGTGTTGCGATCTCATTAATTTACAGTTGAGCTGGCTAAATGTAGCCGTAAATTCTACGCTTAGTTTCTTTTCTTGCACTTCTCGTTTGTGAAAGTCACTTCCAGCTCCATGCTTTCCAGTCAATCTGCAAAAATTTAAATGCAATGTTAATTGCTATCTCCTATCCTCCTGATTACTCTTTCCTCTTCCTGTTCATTATTAATGTTTTTGTTCCTAATTCTTCTACACCCTATAAGCCCTTGTATTTTAGTGGCTTTACTGCCTTGCATGGGATGATACTGATTTAAAAAAAAAAGAAAAAAAAAGATCAGATTTACTTTTCAACATAAAAAATCTATTCTTGTAGAGCATCAAGTAATGCTGATGAATTCTCAATAACAAATGAATTTTGAGGAATAGGATGCTAGTTGTCATCCAAGATGGATTCCTTTAGAAGGTTATTTTGAAATTACCTATTTACCCACAGCTGAGTGTTAAGTGAATTCATCTCTTTCCCAAGAGAATTAATGCAAAGTGAACAGAAACTGTCAATACTGGGGTTTGAACTTGGTTTGCTGATCCCATTCTCTGCACTGTTAACCATTAAGCTACCTACACTGCCTATATCAAAAATTTATAAGGGAAACATATTTAGCATTACAAGCATAAATTTAAAAAAATGTTCTGATTGCTCAAATGAATTTTAACCCAAATTTCAATGAAAAAAAAAACAAAAAAAAACAGACAAAATGAATGAATAAGAAAAAAGTAAACAATTGAAAAAGAAAGTGATATAAATTTGCTTGGTGCCCAAAGCATTTACTTACTTTTCTGACTGGAGGTTTGCAACTCACCCCAAAACTGGAAGCTGTTTTATGGACTTGTGCTGCAGCCAACCCTCGGAATGGACAGCCAGCAAATCTAGTGGCTTGTGGTCGGTTAAAGGAAGGGGAGAACTGAGGACAGCAAGGTGAGGAAAGATCTCTGGCCAATTACAATGGGTGGACCAAGATGGGAAGGATAGAAAGGGAAAGAGAGAGAGAGAGAGAGAGAATGGACAGGCACAACAAGGGCAATGACAAATGACCAACTACAACATCCACACTTAACATTCTCAGTTGACTATAAAATAAACTACAAAATCTGTCCTTTGAAACATACTTTACCACAACACAATTGATATGCAAATTTGGGATTCCATAACAATAATACCATGCTTTCTATAGGTATAAACATTTCCCATATAGCAACTTTCTTCACAAACTTTCTTTTTAAAAAAAATACATTAAAATAAACACAATAGCCTCAAACATAAAAAAGCACTGGAAAAAAATAAATAAATAAAAGTGTCAAATTGAAACAAACAATGTTTTCTAGTAATCTGACATCCATTTAAGTTATACACTGCTAAATGTTTTTTTGCATTGATTATTTATTCTGTACTAACAAAAGGATAATGATAACAGTATAAATAAATATTAATTTTATGATCAAGTTTATCCTATCCTATTTGTGAACCTGTTGACAAATATAATCTCTTTTCATATGTTAAAAGACTGAAAGGTCCTAAAAAAAACAAAAAAAAACAAAACTCTTAACATATCTACATTAATTTAAATAGATTGATCCTAAAAACAGGAAATAATGACTTCAAAATGAACAAAATTTCAAATAATCAAAGATAAATATTGAAAAAAAAAAAAAAAAAAACTAGGGAGAGAATTTAATGAGAATTTCAGTAATAATTAAACTTTTAAAAACACTATAGAAAAGACAAGATCACCTGGACTATAATATACCAAATAGATAGAAACATCTCAAACTTAACATTACTCAAATATATAAAACATTTAACTCAAAACAATCTCATATTGAAGATTAAGCATAAAAATAAATGTATTATCATTATTCAAATATTACCACTGCACGATGAATACTTTTTATGATTACTGTCAGATGATTTTCACAAGTTTCTTTTGTCTAATAATTGCTTTCATGTAAAACTATATTTGCATTTATTAAAATATAAAAAATGTCTGCATAATATGAATACCAAGTACAATTTCATCAAAATTAAGGTAAATTTATTATTGAAAAGCCAAATAAAGAATACTCTCCTGATTGATTAACCCTGGACCAAAACCTATCTTATCATTTCAAATATAAAGATTGCCTGTGGCAAGGTGATGAAATTTATTACAAAACAGTTAATACCATTCCTAACTTCCAGCCTTGTGTTAGAACCAGCCATAAAATTAGGTGGCAGGTTGTGATAAAACACAGAAAATCTACTCTTGTAATAATAATGGACACTCTCATAATCTCCAGTATATGAAAATTGAGCAGCTCAGTTCTAAGAACCAATCAGCCAAGCTATCCACCTATATGATTTGATTATAGTGGTGAAGGCTTCTGCAGAACCATCACACTTTTGAGAACCAAATACACAGTGTGCCACAGGGTATCCAAACAACTCTCCTCAGGTTTTGAATTTGGAGTTTTCCATCTCCTAGACTGATTTCCAACCAAGGCTAAACAGCCCAGTGTGCCCTACTATTTAACCTATAGTTAGGAGGAGATGAAAAGATGGATTCATACCTTTCCCAAAGGTATTTGTATAAGTGAATGTAATGAATTCAACCAGAATTCAAACTCAATTCTCTGATTTCTTAATCCAAGCTGCTATCCATTATAATATTGTGTACTAAATATCAATTATAGAATACCAAATGGTTGAGAGTTCTGATATAAAGCCGTGAAGTATAGAGTTTAATATCTAGTTTGATGAGTTGACGATGTATGTCATTATACTTTGTTTTAGGAGAAACAATGCAAGAAGGCTTAATGAATAGAACATTGGCAAATAAAGCTAACAAAATTATTTCATAATCATTAGCATTCTTTTGTATTAAAATCCTTAGAAAAGATAAATCTAAACTCCTGTAAGATTTGTTATAGAGCTGACTCTCTAAAATGCTGTATTCTTAATGAAGACCAACGAAGTACGCACACACACAAAACCAGATTCAAATGCTAGCAAAACTTAAAAGAACAATGAGAACATGTTTTATTGGTTAAAATGATTTGTAAAGAAATATCAGTCAAGTAAATTGCAAGCCTTAAATCAACTGACACTGTCATGAGATTCCAGTATGGTCAAAACCTTTCAATGATTTCTTGCTATACTATGACTTGATTATTTTGCTCTGTATTTTAAATTTTCAGGGAGATTTAAAAAAAAAAAAAAAATTTATAAGAAAATGGTCAGAATTTAAACACTAATAAAAATTCTACTTTTATTTCCAAGCATTCATCATTACAATTATTGAAAGCAAGTTTAAAAAAAAAAAAAAAAAAACTACTGCAAAAAAGCAGAAACAGAGTTTTATTGGGGTGGGGGACTCAGTGTGCAGAATTAATTTGTTCTTTAATAAGAAATGATTATAAGTTAACAGTACTTGATTGTTATAATATATGTATACTTCAAGAAAAAGATACTGACTAAATAAATAAATCCTCATCCAATTAAGATATGTGTATAATCAAAATAAGATTTAAATTAAATGCTAATCCCAATATCTTCAGTTTAGAATAAATGTACAAGTTAATAAACTTTTTGAAAATTGCTTCATCATCATCATCCTTCAATCTTCCTATGGTTAGTTGGAATTCCATTGACAATCCCTTTCCATACTGTTCAGGCCTGTATTGCTGTCCCCAGATCCCCAATGTCCAACCCTGAGTCCTGAGCTATGGCATTTGGGAAAGTCAGTTTTCGTGAGAAAACCCTTCCAGAAGGCTGTCATAGGAGTAAGGATGAGATGATTTTCCTGTCTGCTTGGTGCCAGTGGCTGGTTAACTGTAATTGTTTTAGCTTAAGAGAGATTGGTCTCAGTTCTCTGTAAATTGTGTTAAGCGTTGCATGGGATTGAAAAGTGTTTTTTTTTTTTTTAAATTGCTTAAGTCATCAACTTGTATACATAGAAATATCAAAAATAAAGATTTTTTTTTTCTGAGATGTTCTTTGTGAATGCGATTTCTCATCATTGTCATTGTCCTTACCTGTGTCTGCAAATATTCTTTTCTTTCTTATGAAAACTTGATTCTACAGTGAATTCAGAAGAAAAAAAAAAATTTTTTTTTTTTCATGTTCATTTTGTTTTCAGTGTCATGGTACTTACCAAACCATCCCTGCTGATCACCGTTTACTTCAATAGCCAGCCCAAAATCCGCTAACTTGACAGCAGCTCCCTTTGCTTTGCTAGCAAGCAGCAGGTTCTCCGGCTATTACAACATACAGGAAATGGGAGGGGTAACAGGATTTGGGAGAGGATAGGTCAAATGAGGGTGCAGGGGGAGGGGGAAAAAGAAGAAAAGAAAGAAGGTATGACCATTAGAAATTTAGAAAAAAGAAAAATAACAATGAAACAACAAGAGAAGTTTTATCTAATTAAACAGCTTACAGCAAATCTACTGCTTATAAGTAACTCAACATCATCAGGATATATATATAAGATTTAAGAAATAGCAGATATTTTTATATATAGTGCTCAATATTAAAATAATATTAAAAATAGTGTTAATATTATATAAAAAGATTACTTAACTTATCAATCCTTTGCTGGTTATTTAAAGCCAGAAAATATTTTTAGATTTGAAGAACTTTTTTTTGAGATAATGATTTAGAGATACAAGTCTTACTAATTAATCTATAGCTGGGGGGAGAAAAGGTGGAATTATACCTTTCCCAAGGCTATTTGTATGTAAGTGAATATAATAAACACAAATTTTCTATTATTATGCCACCTGCATATACAAGCTTACAACACACAATATTCTCAAGTGGTCACTAGGTACTGACTAAGTTTGATGTTGTTTAACTTTGGTGATCGTACAAGAACTGGTATATAAGCATGATATGGTTGTAAGCCTTCTTTAGTTTCGGGAAAATCAAACACCATTAATCAGTTTCTTCTATTCTCCTCTGTTGATATGGTATGAAGAATTGGATTTGCTGTTTCTCAATTCCTTTACATTACATTGTAAGTACCATTCAGAAATAATAGTTTTAATTCAGCTGCAGTATTGAGCTAACTAGTATTGGTTGATCCATACTATTGTAATTAACTATGTCACTTATCTGTCATCATTTATTGCATATAAATCTCTTGATACTTGTCTTTCAATGCAAATTTTATTTTTTATTATTTTTTTTAACTTTATTTTACTTCATTTTAAAAATTTTTAATTTTATTTTTAATATTTTATATTTTTAAATATTTTTTATTAAAAAAACTTTTAGTTTAATTTTTTTATTTTTGAAATTTTTTTTATTTTATTTTTATGATTTTTACGAGTACAATATTAATTGTCTACTAGCAACCACAGTATTCAGTAGAATTCAATAGAATTGGTTGAGCCATGTTGTTGTAGTTGACTATCACTTATCAACCATCAAATCACTGTGTATGAAGACAAGTCTGTTGATGTGTGCCTATCTATTCAACTAGAGAGTTTTTGTTTTTGTCACTGAGGTTTATTCCTTTAGGTGATAAAGAGACATGGAGCACATTGCTTCCATGTCTAAGTAAAATCTTTGTTATTTGAAATTTTAAACTTGATGTTAAATTCCTTAATCTTTAATAATTGATTAATTATTAAACTATTTCAGGTTATTTAAAGCCAGAAAATATTTTTAGATTATAAGAATTTTCTTTCTTTTTTTATATAGATAATAATGATTTAGAGATACAAGTCTTATTAATTAACCCATAGCTTGGAGGAGAAGAGGTTGATTCATACTTTCACCAGGAGTATTTACACGTAAGTGAATATAACGAACCCAACTGGAATTGGATCACAAACTTTCAAGTTATTATCCATTACACCACACACACATCCAAGCTTACAGCACATAGTATTCTCAAGTGTTTTTTTTTTGGTTCCCATCTGTTGAGCTGTTGTACTAGGTTAGACCTTTTGTTACCTCTTATAATACCTTGCATACAGTAGAAAAATATATTCTTACCTATTTAAAATTACTTAATGGTTTTAAAAATGAGTGGATAATGATCTTGTAGCAAAAACTCTTTCTTTTGTTGTTTCTTATAAACATCAAATAAAATAAAACAAGGTAAGTTAAGGTACAAAATAATATCTGTTTTTATAGATAAATTCTCAGGGAACTGCATATAGTATTTCCCAACATAAAAGGTGCACTTTTTATCTTAAAAAGTATCTTCCTAAAAAAATTCAAAGGACTAACACTTAAACACCTGTTTAAACTCTAGAATTAAAATATATATGCTCACATGATTATGATTACAAAACAAATTATATATAAAAATATGAGATAATAATATATATTTTTATATATCAAGAACAATATTGAGAAAAAGGTTATTTTGTGGTGCGTTTTAACAAATTTAGTCCAGTGAAGTCCTAAAGGATGAAACACATTACAAGAAAACTTTTTCCACTTTGACATACTTTTTTCCCCAATATAAAAATATATAAATCATTGACTATTATAATTATTTTATTTATTTTTTTTTTTAAATAGTCCTTACCAAATTGTAGGTGCATGTTATATGACAGGAAATACAAGTATATAAATTTGTCTCCAAAATGAATTTACCAAATAGTTATTACTTTGTGTCTTACCTTGTCTTTTAATAGAAAAGTATAAATCTTTCAGATGTAGGAACCTAAGCAGTAGATTTGATGATATACATGGGAGGAAGGATTTCCATAGACTGTTTTTATTCAGTACAGGAAAATAGGCTGAAGGGAGCACAAGTCTACATTCCTATGCTGAGAATAACTTCACACAAGACAAAGACATGACAATGACTAGGGTCACCACAATCCTCCAATGTACAACAAAAGAACAAAAGATGAAAATGAAAACAAAGAACAAAAGAATTGTTATTTTGTCAAATTTAGATACAAATGAAGAACGAGGGTATCAAAAGCAACAGGACTTGGAATTTGTGGTATCAATAATTTTGATATCACGATGTTAATTTCAAAATATTCTAAAAAGACAATTCCTGTTATTTGTAAAGAGTTCTTACCTGGGGTTCATGAAAAAAAATTTGATCCTTCAGCTACTTAAAATTAATTAAATCATTTTTTTTTTTAGTTGGGGGTACAAAGGTAAGGGGGTGATCTTTGTACTAAAACATAGGATAAGTGTAAAGAGTTGAAACTGATATTCTTGATAAAGAAGCAATATCTGGAATATTAGTAAAGAACTAGTAATGAAGGAATTTGAACAATCATATTAATAAAATATTATTTCAACAGTTGGGTCTTTCATTTTGGTTTTTGTTCAAAGCATAATATATAGTAAAAAACGAAAAATATTTTAATAATTAAGAAAAAAAGTTGAAAATTATGCCATTTCTCTCTTAATTATTTTAAAATTGTGTAAAATACTTTAAGTAAGGATGGCATTGTTTGCTAATTGAAAAGGTTGGTATCTGTCTATATTTCTGAGGTGAGGTATTGTAATTATTCATACTTTTTAAATTGCTCAAACTGTTGTCCTCATCTTTTTTCTTTTTAAGCATTTCACCCCTAGCAAGGGTGGAAGCCACTAGTACGCAAGGGGATACAGAGGATTTGGAGCGAGTGCAGATAGTAATGATAGAGGAGAGGATGAGAAGAATAGTGGATAGATCAAGGCAACTGGAGATGTCGATTGACATTAGATTTAAATAGTTGTAGATCAAAGCTATCAGGGAAACAGGAGTAGGGAAGGAAGTTCCACAGGCGAAAGGTGCGAGACATGAAGCTATTGGAGTAGAAGAGGTGACTACATTTAACAGTTTCAACAGTAAAAGGGTGAGAGTGGGATGCCAGCCTCGTAGGATGCTTGAATTCATGAAGTCTTGGAACCAGAGAAAACAGCTCATCAGAGCAATTACCATGAAAGTATTTGTAAAAAAAGACAGAGAGAGGTGACGGCACATCTGCAAGAGAGCGACTGCAGACGAGATGCCAGATCGGGGCCAATTATATTGCATATCCATCTCTGGATCTTATCAAGAACCCCGAGGCTCCAGACCATATATGGAAGCAATACTCCATGCAAGGGCGAATGGTTGATTTGTATATTTGAAGGATCGTTCTGGGGAGAAAAATTTCCTGGCGTGGCACAGGGAGCCAACTTTCCTTGCAGTGGATGAAGCAATTGACTCAATGTATTTATTCCATCTCAGGTCAGTAGACAATGTGAGACTGAGCAGCTGCAGAGAGGCGCTTTCGGGAAGCTGAGCGTCAGACATTCTAATGGGGGGCAGGGAAGGTTCTCTGTGGTGATTAATAGAGAGCAGTCTTGTTTTGGTGGCATTAAAGTTAACCAGCCAATTACGGCCCAAGTTCACAACCGATTGGAGGTCCTTTTCGAGACAAACAGCCAGATTAGTTTTGCCAATGACACTAGATTTGTTTTTGAGGCAGGGGTAAATTGTAGTGTCGTTCGCATAGATGCCCACCTGGGAGTATGTTACCATACTCACAACAATTCAGCTGTTGTGCACTTCAGTTCAAAATTCCAATCACCTGAAGAAAGCCAGTGCGTACAATGACCAAAATGTTGTGTATATGGCAACAATGATGAGGACAACAGTCTGAACAATGTAAATAGTGTAAATAACACATGTTGGTGTTAGTAAAGTATTCAAGTTCTAGAACAAGTAACACCTTTTCTCATGAAATAAATTATAAGACAAAGTCTACATAAATATATTCAAAGTTATAAATATACAACCATGTGCTTATGTAAGCATCAATTAATAAAAGTTTGGTATTACAATGATAATTTAGATTATTGCTCAGAAATATAAAATGCAGTACCATTTTTATATAAAAATTGAAAAAAATTTGAAATTCTGACATAATAGCTATTTATATTAAAGAGTACATGATTTCAATGAATCCCACTGGTTTATAGACTAAAAATATTTTTTTCTTTATCTTCCTTAATTTTGTGTGGGAAGTCAAAATATTATTCCAGTTCAGATTCATTTATGAAGGTAAGGCAGCATTTTTCAACTGGTATGCCCAGGTGCACGAATACACTCTCAAATGTAGCCAGATGCATTTCCAAGTGATGAAAAGAGTAATTTATAAATTATTTTTATATTTAAAATATCTTCATTTTAAAAAGCAAGAGACATGGAGCACATGGCTTCTATGTCTAAGTCAAATCTTTGTTATTTGAAATTTTAAACTGGATGTTAAATTCCTTAATCTTTAATAATTGATTAATTCATTTA